AGTCGATTGCCGCCGCCCAGTCCGCCGCCGCCCATATCCCACTGCCGCCGTGACGCCTCCCCTCGGCGCCGCCGCCCTCGCCGCCGCCGCGTAGCCCGGCGCCATCCCTCGTCGACATCCACCGACGCAGCCCCCACTGAGTCCGGCGCCGACGTCGCCGCCGCCGCCGATGCCGCCGCTTCCCTCACTTCCGCCACCGACGTCGCCGCTGCCCTCGCCGCCGCAGCCTGTCGCCACAGGCCGAGCAGTCCTCTACGCCGCCCAGCCCGCCTCCGCCCAGTCCGCCGCCGCCGCATCCGCCCTCGCCGTATCCGCCCTCGCCGCCGCCCTCGCCACGCCGCCCTCATCGCCGCCTCCGAGCCTGCCGCCTCCCTCGCCGCCTCTACCGTCGCCGCCCCCACCGAGCCCGCCGTTGCCGCCGCCGCCGCCGCCCAGCCCGCCGCCGCCCAGACCGCCGCCGCCCAGCCCGCCGCCGCCGTCGCCGCCTCCCCCCTCGCCGCCGCCGCCGCCCTCGCCGCCGCCGCCCTTGCCGCCGCAGCCCTCGCCGCCGCAGCCCTCGCCGCCGCCTCCGAGCCCGCCGCCTCCCTCGCCGCCTCCACCGTCGCCGCCCCCACCGAGCCCGCCGCCGCCGTCGCCGCCGCCGCCCTCGACGCCGCCGCCCTCGACGCCGCCGCCCTGACCACCGCCACCGCCACCGCCGCTGCCCGGCCCGCTGCCGCCGTCGCCGCCGTCGCCGTCGCCCCGACGGCGCAGCGGCGGCGCAGCCACCCGCTTACGGCATCGTCTTGGGGTTGTGCTCGCGCCGGCCGACCTCGCCGAGCCGCTAGCGCGCGCGAGGGAGGCATGTGCGTTGCGCCGCTCAGCGGCCGTGGAGGGCGAGCGCGGGGGATGCGCGCGCTCACTAATAAGTGCTACATTGTGCGTGCTGTATGTCGGTCTGCACACTGTACAGTGCCGCGGTGCCAGTGGGGTGTGAATGTGAACACTGACCCTCACACACTAAGGGTTGGTCAACCATGTGGGTGTCTATGTGTTTCCCTCGGGCAGTAGATTCTTATTTCATCGTCAAAAAGCGCCCGTATTCACTTGCCAAAATCGCGACCCGGGGTGTTCGACCGGGCTACGCACTGGGCTGGGTCGTCGGGCGGCGGCGGCGCGAGTCGTGGCGCCCAGTCGTATCTCGCAAAAAATCAGTAACCAGCCTCCGGCGGGGCCCCCCGCTACCATCCAAACCCGAGTACCCGTCTACTATCATAGATAGAGGCTCAAGTGTGACATAAGTCCGCACACACATACGGCGTATCATACGACATACACACATAGACATACACAAAGCAACTCTCACGACACACGGGCACCGGGTGGAGCGGCGGCGGCGGCGGCAGCAGCACGCGCGGGCGGACGGATTCGGACGGGGCGGAGCAGCGAACGCCTGGGCGGCCGCTGCTCTGTCTGCCAGAGCGCGCGCCGTCTGCGCAGCTCGAGCGCAGTCAGGTGCACAGGGAAGCGTGGCGGCGCGGGGACGCGCGGCGGCGGTGGCGAGCAGGCGAGCGGCCCGCGCGCGGCGAGGCGGACAGGTGATCGGCAGGCGGGTGATGGGCCGCAGAGTGACCGCGCCCAGCGATCGGAGCGAGCCGATCGTCGCTCGGCCGCAGCTGACCTCGAAGGCGTGCGGAGCGCGACTGTCGGTGTCGGAGGGCGGCCGTCATGTGGCGAGGAGGGAGGACGACAAGTGCGCAGCGTACGGGTCGCTCTTCATCGGCCAGTCGAGCGGAACTCAAGTCGAGAGCATGACGGGTTTGAGCTCGGCACTTCGAAACGCCCGTGAAATCTGCTTTGGCGCCAAAGCTTGTGACGAGGTTTGCCACGAAAGGGGGCCCTCTGCTAAATGGGGTTATGGGGGCGGAAAAAGAATCCTCGCGGGACTACTTATGTTTTCGTAAACGTAGTCGTGGCCCCCCGCTACGTCGCACGAGTGCAACCGGGTAGCGGGGGGCTAAAAGAATGATGCGTCCCCCTCTCATGGTCCGAGCCTGACTGAC